TTTATTTAGCATTTCATCTTCTTCATCTGAGTCAAGGGCTCCTTATGTGGATGCACGAGACAAGGCCCCTGTGGCACAACAATTTTCAACAATTTCCGCCATTTCTTAGCAATACTCAAATTCTTTTGTCCTAAACTTCTTTATATTTCTGGTAGCCTACAACAATTGAAAATATAGAATTAAGCATACCGTATGCGTGATGAAATGTTAAAAAAAAAAAAATTGAAAATGGTACAGGTTAATGAAAAACCTTATCCCAAAATTCATCCGATGCAACAGTAGTGCCTACAATGGGATCCCATCACAGACCAGTCTGTGCCTGGAGTCGCTTAAACGTCTGGTAATGAACTTTCAATCACTGATATTTTTGTCGCACCTGCTTTGCTGTATACCGAAATCCATACAGATTGTGCAACTGATTGGCAAAATGATTCCAATGCCTAATTGTCCACACAATAGTACAGCCCGTTGATTGATTTTTTTTAACCTCTTCTTTCAACATGTTTATTAATTTCATTTCAATTCTAGGAGTCCACATTTTTGTATCTTGATTGTCATCGGAATTGTTTCCATCCATCTATAAACATACAATTTATATTTAAACTAATCTGGGGTGAATATAAAAGAATAACAGAGCAAACTACTCTGGAGTGGATATAAAAAAATAACGGAGCAAAAACTAATTACAATTATTTATGTAGGAACCAAAAGTAATATTTATTTCAACTTGGTAAATAATGTTGGGAAAAACAGATGGTTTGAAGGGCAACATAAATAAAAAAAAATAAAACCACATAATATTAATGTTACTTCAACTTGTTAAATAATGTTACGAGAAGCAGATGATTTGAAGGGCAACAACATCAATGTTTATTTCAACTATAGGAAAGACAGACGATTTAAAGGCCAAAATAGAGACAAGATAAAAATCACGTAACATTGTCTGTATTTACATGCTAAAAAAATAACCACGAATAAGCAGAAAAAGAAGGCCACAAGAAGAAATAAGCAGAAGAAGAGAAGAAGAAATAAGAAGCAGCAGGACAGAGGGAAGTTGACCGGCCGGATGACCCGGGGGACGACCGACTAAGTATTAAAGGTGACAAAAGGTGCAAAGAGTTTAGACAGATCAGAAACTATCTCAAACTATTTCTATACTCATTTGGACTTCTCAGAAATCATTTCAGAACTCATTTGGACTTCTCAGAAACCATTTGCACATAACAGATGATTGAAGGAGATATTTACCAGATTAGTGGGAGTTGAATAGGTATCACCTATGATAGAGTGCGTACAGTGACTGAATGTGCTACTCTTTGATAATCGTCTGATTCGACAATAGGTTTGATAAATTTGACCTGAGACAAAAAAACAATTGGGAATAAAATTACGGATATTTTTTTAAATCAGTGACCTATAAAAAAATATGTCAATTAAATTTGTGAGTTATTTGACCTCGCACTCATCGTTGTTTGGTTGCCCGTAGAAGGAATCTTCCATACTGCACAAATTGTAAGTCATTTGATTTGTAGGAGATAGTATGAGTAGGGAGGGGGTTCATAGGATTCATGATTATAAAATGGTCTAAGTTCTCTATGAATACTACCCGTGACGAATCTTCAGTCTTGATCTTTGATACAGAGAAAGAAAGATGATCTACGACGAATCTTCAGTCCTGATCTTTGATACAGAGAAAAAAAGATGAGTAGATCAGTTCACGTGAACCTTTTCAGAGACGATGGACATGGAAGCTTTTTAGCAAAGGAAGAGGAAGAAGGATGAAGACGTTGAAAGTGGAGAAATGAATCACAAAGCTGCCAAACGGGTTTTCAAATTGTAGTTTGAATTATATGGTGAAATTCTATTTTGAAAGTGGTATCCAAACGTGATGCGGGAGTGATAGGGTAGAAATGTAATTTCAAAACACATCCAAACAGAGCCTAAATTTTCGGGTTGTTACACTACGCGTGCGACGCCGGAGCAAAAGCGAGGACAGTGGTGAACCAAAAGAGAGACATCGATCAAAGTGAGGATTTGTAGAAGGGAAGATGAGAATGAAGATTTACAGAAAGAAGAAGGAGATGGCGGTGAAGGTGGTGATGAGGCTGGTGGCGGCAATGACAAGGTGTGATGGTGGGTAACGACGACAAGGCGAAAAGAGAGAGAGAGAGAGAGAGAGAGAGAGAGAGAGAATGTGCCAGTATATAAGGGGGTCAAAATCGTGAAGATTTGAGAAATTTTGGCGCCCAAATCAGGCGCCCAAATCAGTCTTTCGTTAATTAATAGAGACGGAGATGGACATGAGTATCGGATTGTAACACGAGTGGAATGGTGAGGTACAAATTGTCAAAATTGGAAACTTGGGGTTTTAATTTGAAAAAGGCACTAAACCCTGGGGATTTTTTTTTGTAATTTCCCCATCAAATTATCTCAAATAGAAAATTATAAAATTTTATTAATTTTTAATTTTTTTTCAATAAATGAGGTTATTTAAATTAGGAGTGGCCATCAGTCTGATCAATTGTCCAACCTTCTCAACTTAATCCGATATTTTTAGGATTTGAGAAAAATATTTAATCAATAACGCTGAATTGAACAAAATTTTTGAGTTTGTTTAATTTTCAGGCTAGATTTGGGATAAAGAGTATTTGCCTAGTCCCGCCAGGCTTGCTCATTTAAAAAAAAAAAATAAAATAAATTTTTTTAAGGTTACTAATAATAATAATTAAAAATGTAATTTTAATTTTTATATTATTTAGTTACAAAATAAATTAAAAAATAATAAAAGATAAAGAAAAAAAATATATATATACTTCTTTTTATAATTTAAACTAAAACACTTCTTAAAAATTATATTTATTTTATAATTGAAATTTATTAATATTTAAATTTAAATAATTATTAGAAATGATTCAATAATTTAATAGCCTTTCGAGATAGGGAAATTTTTTTTTTTTGGTATAAAAAAAAAATTAACAGTTCATATCTATTACGTTAATTAGGTGACCTTGGAATTTAGACATTCTTTTAAGAGATTTATGAGAGTATTTAGAATCAGCTAAATAAATATATTTTTTTTATTTTTTACAAAAGAATGTAAAAAAAATAGAGGGATGATATAACCCAAATAAGTATACTTATTTAAATAAGTACACTTATATAGATCATGTCACCTGTTATCTAGCTAGACTAAACTTAAGATGACACACATACTCTTATTATATAATATGAGTGTTTGAGAAGTTGTTATTTTAGTTTTTGACTCTTTTAGTAAGTTAAAATTTTTGTGTTTAGAAAGATAGTTAATTTTTTTGTAGTTGGATGTAATGTTTGTGAGAGAAAAAATAAAATGATTATAAGTTTGATGTGACATTTTGTCTTATTAACTATTTTAGCCTATTTATTTTTTTTATGAATTTTAACCAAAAAATATTAAAAATAACTTTTGCCAAACACCTTAATATCAGCCCAACCTAAATTCGGTATAGCCCGTTAATTTGTCCACCCCTAATTTTAACATGTCATGGCAATTCTAAATAAAATCAATATTAAGGTATCGTTTGGTTTTGACTTTTTTAGTTGACTTTTTAACTTTTTTTAATTTTTTTAGCCTGAGACTCTTTTAGTCATTTGGTATTTTTGTTTGGCTTTTTTGACTTTTGGGCTTTAGAATAACAAAATTGCCCTTAGTATAGAATGATACTTTTTTGACTTTTGTTTGTATATGAGATATTTTGATACTTTTGTAACTTTTTTGTCTTTTTGTGATTTTGTAATTTTTTTTTTATTTTTTGTGATTATGTAGCCTAGGAGGAAAATCAAACCAAGACTAATGTATAATTAGTTTTCTATTAAACAAAATATTCGTGTTTATTATGACGATTTGATTTTGACGTAATTTTTATTTATTTATAATATTATGGTTAATCAAATTTTCATTTATTAGAGCATCCGTATCAAAGTAGTTAAAATTATTTTTAGCTAAATTAGTGATATTGTTCATAAAAAATGGACGTGCATCAGTCTTGCTACTATTCATCGCTAATTTACGAGTGCTACAGTATCTCGCTACAACAAGCGAGATATTGTTCATCGTTACAATACGGAGATTAGTGTTACTCGAAGCCCGGCCAGTCAATCAGTCATGGCTAATTTCTTTTTTTTTTTTATACATTTTTTAAAAATTGTTTGACTGGTAACTCATTAATTTAATAAAAAAAGAAAAATAACAAACTCAATAAAAAAATAATATTTTAATAAGATTAAGTTAAAATAGAAAGTTTGATACAATAAGTACTAAAGAAGTGATTAATTAAAATAGTAAAATAACTTTTTAAGCTATAATTTGGCTGGTATTGTTCATCGTTACAACACGGAGATTAGTGTTACTCGAAGTCCGGCCAGTCAACCAGTCATGGCTAATTTCTTTTTTTTTTATACATTTTAAAAAAATTATTTGACTGGTAACTCATTAATTTAATAAAAAAAGAAAAATAACAAACTCAATAAAAAAAATAATATTTTAATAAGATTAAGTTAAAATAGGAAGTTTGATACAATAAGGCCTAGTTTGGGAAGACTAAATAAGTATACTTTTTGACTTTTTTTGTATTATGTGTAGAAAAAGTAGAGAGGAGATGTTGATTGATGTGACCCAAAAAAGATAAAAAGATGAAATAAGTGCACTTTTTTCTTTGTAGCCAAACTTGGCAGTACTAAAGAAGTGATTAATTAAAATAGTAAAATAACTTTTTAAGCTATAATTTGCCTAAAATTTTTAAGAAACTGGTTGGATGCTCTTATAACTAATGATATGGAGACTGTAGTTTATTGGCATTGTCAATATAACAACAATGTTAAGTGGCCGAAAAAATCATACTTAAAACGCCATTTTAAATATAAAACGACATGATTTTAACACATTTGACTCGTTTAAGCCACAAAAAATCAAACCACCAAATGTTTTCCGTCGACATAAACATCTTCCGTCAACATAATTGCTTAAAAAGTCGGTCTCCCCATAATCCAAAATGTACCCCAAGCCTCCCTAAAAACTCACTTCACATTACACAAATCAATCAATCAATCCCCAAATACACATGATCCATCGGAGATTTCTATAGAATTTTTTGTTTCATCTTCCCCCTACCTACCTTGTCTCTCTTCAGCTTCGATGTCTCCCCAATATGCACACCAAAAGGTTCTTTCTTTTGCCCTAGTCTTCTCATCTTTCTTCAATTTATTATTATTTATTTTTGATTTCTTTGAACATCAATCAAGCATTTGTTTTGTTCGATTCTTGATAATGTGAATGATTTTACAGAATTGAAAATGGGTTTGCTTTAGGTAGATTATAGTGTGATGTGATTATGAGGAAGAAGAGGAAAGGTAGTGAATTTCTATACCCAGATCAAGAGGTTTTAGAATCAACTCGCGATTCGCGTTCGTTGTCGAATTTAAAGACCCATTATTCTTTGGAAGATTATGCTAGGTTGAAGAAGAGGTGTAAGGAAGATGTGGTGGGTACAGACCCAATTGGGTCATGTAAAAATAGGCTTCTGGGTATTGCTTCTACGGCTCCGCCATGCGGAACTTCGTCGTTGGTTTTACCAGGAAGAGGGTTGAAGAGAAAGATAGGGTGTATTGATAGAGCCACTCAATTGGGTAGGAAGAACAAGATTGAGGATGATTATGTTTCAGGTGCCACAATTGGAAAAGGTAAATTTGGGTCGGTTTGGTTGTGCCAGAGTAGGGTTACTGGAGTGGAATTTGCGTGTAAGACTCTGCATAAGGGGGAAGAGACGGTTCACCGTGAGGTAGAGATTATGCAGCATTTGTCAGGGCATCCGGGTGTTGTAACATTGGAGGCGGTGTATGAGGATTCTGAATGCTTTCACCTTGTGATGGAGCTGTGTTCAGGTGGACGTTTGATTGATCAGATGGCCAGTGAGGGTCGGTATTCAGAGCACCGGGCTGCTAATATATTCAAGGAAATTGTGCTGGTCATTAAGTATTGTCATGAGATGGGAGTTGTACACAGAGATATAAAGCCTGAGAATATTCTTCTCACAAATTCAGGGAAGATAAAGCTGGCAGATTTCGGCTTAGCCATGAGGATTGCAAATGGTAACTAATCTGACACCTCCCTTCTATATTGTTCTGTTACTTTTATTGCCCATAAATATTTTTCTTTCTGCTGCAGTTTTGAACACCAGAAGTTGGAATGAATATGAACCTTTTTATCTTTTTGTTTCTTTACTTATTAAATCTTTGCAATTTATTTATTTATTTTTGAGTGGTTTCTTCCAATTAGGAAATTTTCTTATCATTTGTTGGAGCCTGTAATTGGAAATTTAGTGATATAATTTGACATGACTCGGTGGATACTAAGCTACCAATAGAAACTTGTTATAAAAAAAGCTTTGTAAATGGTCTAAGGATTTTATGTTTTAATTATGGCAAGTCTGTGTAATGCCTGGTGTTTGGGATTGATAAAGGTGGATATTCTTCACAGGTGCTTCTCCTTCTTACCAACTTAAGCAAGAATAGCAAGATCATGAGATGAAGTACATAATGGTCCTATATGGGTATTGCCTTTCTGTGTCTCCCAGTACATATCATTTTTCCTATGCTAGTACAAAGAGCCAAAAAGGTGTGAGCATACATTTTTATGAAAATCATTGGGGCCCACAGGTTTTTCTGGCCTAATCAACTTCTATTGTTGAATGGTTGCCTCGTGTCTGACTTTTTCAAAATATTTTTGGAAGTATATCAGTATAAAGGCATTTGAAAATCTTAATGGCGGAGTTATTTGATCTGATGCATGCTGAACTCTCAAATGGAGTGATCATTTCTTAGACCATGATTCTTTAAACAAATTTAACATTTAGCATGGCTGTATGTGATGGTCTGTTACCTGTACTTGCTGGTTGTAAGGATATGATACTCATTATTAACATAGTTTTTAGTGCATTCCCTAACGTAAGAATTTTTCCTGTGGTCTTCTAGTTTTATTAGACGTTGTTTGGTTACTTGGAGGCATATTGGTGATTAAGATGGAGGCAGAAAAGGACTTTATTGTTTGGTCGCAAATATGGAAATTTAGTGATATAATTTGACATGACTCGGTGGATACTAAGCTACCAATAGAAACTTGTTATAAAAAAGCTTTGTAAATGGTCTAAGGGTTTTATGTTTTAATTATGGCCAGTCTGTGTAATGCCTGGTGCTTGGTATTGATAATGGTGGATATTCTTCATAGGTGCTTCTCCTTCTTACCAACTGAAGCAAGAATAGCAAGATCATGAGACGAAGTACATAATGGTCCTATATGTGTATTGCCTTTCTGTGTCTCCCAGTACATATCATTTTTCCTATGCTAGTACAAAGAGCCAAAAAGGTGTGAGCATACATTTTTATGAAAATGATTGGGGCCCACAGGTTTTGCTGGCCTAATCAACTTCTATTGTTGAATGGTTGCCTCGTGTCTGACTTTTTCAAAATATTTTTGGAAGTATATCAGTTTAAAGGCATTTGAAAATCTTAATGGTGAAGTTATTTGATCTGATGCATGCTGAACTCTCAAATGGAGTGATCATTTCTTAGACCATGATTCTTTAAACAAATTTAACATTTAGCATGGCTGTATGTGATGGTCTGTTACCTCTACTTGCTGGCTGTAAGGATATGATACTCATTATTAACATAGTTTTTAGTGCATTCCCTAACGGAAGAATTTTTCCTGTGGTCTTCTAGTTTTATTAGACGTTGTTTGGTTACTTGGAGGCATATTGGTGATTAAGATGGAGGCAGAAAAGGACTTTATTGTTTGGTCGCAAATAACACTCAACCAAAGACATTCTATAGAGCTTTGTTCTTCCCCATTATGTGGAATTTTTTAACCAGCATGAGGTGCCTCAAATTCCATAGCTTGTGTCTTTTGTTCTTTTTCTTTAGGAAAATGTGTAACTGAAATGTAATAGCGGTGAGATACAGAGGATTTCAGCATTACAAAGTCACACTGCGCTAAAGTAATGTGCAGAAGATGACACTAGATTCCACCATTTGTGCTTAGAAAGGATTTAATAGTGTGACAGAATTAAGATTATTTGGATTCCTTGTATGAGGCTTCCAAAATTTAAAATCTGTAAATTATAAGAACAGTTTCATTATGCAGGAATTGGTTTTTGCTTAGCTTTAAAAAGAGTTAGCCACATCGAATAGGCTGTTTTTTCTTCCTTGTGGGAACCGTTGGTCTTCTTGGGAGCCAAACACAGGCCTAAGCTGCAGAACATGACACCTAAGTTTGTGTTTTTAGGCACATTGTAACAATTGATTAAAGAGAGAAATCGCCTCATGTTCTGGATTTTAAGTGGAATTCTGATAAATCCACTCTAGTGGTCTCATATTGTATTTTATTATTTTAGTAGCTGCCTTTTTTGATTGCTTTCCTTATTGTTTATGAAGCATTGCAATCATTACATTGCAGGTCAGAGATTGACTGGTTTGGTTGGGAGCCCTGTTTATGTTGCCCCAGAAGTTCTCCTAGGCGATTATTCTGAGAAAGTTGATATATGGAGTGCTGGTGTCCTTCTACATGCTCTCTTGACTGGTCTTCTCCCATTTCAAGGAGACTCACTAGAAGCAGTTTTCGAAGCAATCAAGAGCATGAAGGTTGATTTCCACACCGGGATATGGGAGTCTATATCGAAAGTTGCACGGGATCTGATTGAGCGCATTCTTACAAGAGATGTTGCAACAAGGATAACAGCAGATGAAGTTCTAAGTAAGTTTTCTATACTGGTCAAATTTCTGAATAGGGTTTCTAATTCTTGGTGGTTTTTTATTTTTTATTTGTTTTATTTTTTTTAAGCTGTATACAACCGTTTTTATCGCACACAAGATTTTGAGTATGAGATGATAATGGCTGACCAACCGTTTTGCCAATGCAATTACGGCTTGTCTCTAGACCATGCCAGTGCCCTAGAACAATACCCGAATGTTTAGAAACGTCAATTTTTATCATTCACTTTTTTTTTTTTTTCCATACCATTTTCTTGACTTAATCTTGAATTTGTTTGTAAATATGCTAATCTTTTTCACTCATCAATGTTCCTTTCAGGCCATCCATGGATCTTGCTCTACACTGACCGCACATTAAGGACGCTATCTATAAAGTCGAAATCAAAGAGCCGGTCACCACCACCACCTTCCCAGCTACCAGCCATTACAACTAGACTGGAGGAGCAGAATGACCGTAGGACAGCCTATGATTCTTTTGGTGAGACTAATGATCCAGCATCGTTGCCTGGAAGTTTGAGTCGCAAGGCTGAAGAGCAAGACGGCTCTGGTTTGGTTGACGCACTTGCAGTAGCAATTTCACACGTGACGATCTCCGAAACAAAACGGAGCAGGCTGTGCGTTCCAACAAACCCAATACAGGAGCAATGCTCGTCTAACATGAAGGCTAACAATCTCTGCAAAGCATTTTGATTCCGAGACATAAACAGCTGACCGAACTACACCACCAACACCATCCCTCAGTTATTTTTTGAATGGGTATCTGAATTAAAAAATTTCGTGGCCAAAAGATGATATAACTGGCAAACATGTTTGGGTATCAAAATAACAAGTATTGGATTGATGGCTGGGAAAGGCTAGAAATTGTTGGAATGCTTGTTTGATCTAATGTTGGCCATTGTTGACATGGCAATGTACCTATAACCTGATACAACCTAATAAACTGATGTACAGTACTGGTAATGTAAATAGAGAGTGCTGGTGATTTGTAATTGTAACACGGGGTTTGTTTGGTTCTTTGCTTTATTTAAATATATTGCTTTGCTACCTGCATTTCACAATCTTGGAACTACAGAATTTTTGTAGATGGTGTGCCTTTTTAGGTCATGGGTATGCCAAATGTGTCGCAGGCAGATCTCGTAATAAATTGATAATTATAAGACAACTGAGCTTATTCATGGTATCCTGTGGACTAGCAAGTTTTGAGTAGGCCTTTTTTGTTTTTTGACAGATTGTGATAGTAAATTAAAATGAAGTTGAGCCATTGATTATGGTATATATCTCTCTCCGTAATTTCCATATATTTTTTGAGCCAGGATTCGGTCTATGGTGGATCTTTATAGTACTAACATAAATGATATTTTCATGCAGAGTAATAAACCAGCTTGACCAGGTGCTTCACTAAAAAGATTATCATCATTTAATATATCCTCTTATGATATATTTGCGGATATATATATATATGTACGTATTTATAGAAAAGAGAGAAAAAATATTTCTTATTTTTTATTTTGCATTGATTCACTGGGAGTTCAAAGACAATGTGAAATAGTGTCCATATTCTATACAATTTTACCAAACTGCATGGGTTTCCGTTGACCCGAAAATGGTAGACACAATAGTTTATTGGTAACGCGGTCTATATTTTAGTTTTGTTGTCACAATCTCGAAACCAACTCCATTTTAAAAATCTCAAGATGAAAAAGTCTAATTCCAAGTCCCAAATTTTCCATCTGCAACAATCAAACCTGATGGAAATGGAGAGTGGTCTCAAGATGTTCACCCAAACCAACAAGCCATGTTTCTCAACCAAACTTATCCTCACATATCTCTCAGCCTTGTTCCTACTTCTCATTCTCTTCCACATCCAAACCTCCCCTTTCACTTCTCTCTCCTCCCCTGCTTCCACTCCATGGTCATTTTTCCACCAATGGAAGAGCAGCGACCACCGCTCCAAAGTTGTTGAGACCCTAACCGACAGGCTGAGGGACTCAGTCACTTTCCTCCCCCTCAAAGACCTCAGATTCGCCGAAACCACTATGACTGGCAACACCTGGTTCATGAGCTCCTTAAACGACAGCCATGATGAAGATGGATCAGAATACCTCTACTTCCCTTCCCCCGCCGCAAAGGGCAGGATTCTATGCATCAAGGGACGCAACGCCAGAGACGGTACAAAAAACTCCTATGCCTTGGCTTGGTGTCACGGGCCGACTCCTTTAGAGGTGCAGCGGATCAATTTTCGCCCGTGTGGCGCTCAAACTCCACCAAGTTTAAGTCCGTCATAGCTCATTGACAAATCGAGTGTTGATGATCTCACCCGTTTGAACATTAGGGCCCAATGCTTTGTCAAGCAAAATAACTTCACAAGGAAGCTCCGTCTTCACCCGGATGCCACAAGTAGACCTAACGCCTCAAGTGCACCAAGCACGACATAAGTTGCTTCATAGCGCCAAGCTTATTTCAAACAAGGTGCTCGCCCAACTAAGGTTTTTGTCGTCAAGGTGCCTAGCCACACAACAACGTGCTAGCAAAGGTCCTCAACTTAGCTGACAAACCAACGTTGCATGTTGGGTCTTTGATAGCATCTTGAAATGTCGTAGGGTCAAGCATGCCTCAATAGATGCATATTGGATGGCCACTTGGTCATGCGAAGCCCACAAGCCACCGAGGGTCAATCTCTCGCCCACGGCATAATCCTCGTGCCAACACGTGTGTTAGATTCCGCTTAAGGCCATTGCGCACCTTAGCGTTGCACCAACGTGTAGCATGAGTAAGGCAACATCTCAATCCGTAGCTTGCTTGTAGCATAATGTAGTCCCTCAATGGACTTAGTCAATACGTAGCTTGATGCCTTCATTCGATAGCCCACATATGCGGTGTTGCCATCCAACCGCTTAGCTTAAGCCACGGGATCCCCTCGTGCAAGGTTGAACCCAAACCAAGCACTTGAGTTGGCACACGAGGCCTTTAGTGGTGCCTCGATAGCCCATTCGGTCCAAAACAAGTCCCAAAGATGCCATATTGCGTAGCATAGTGGAAACAACGTAGTGGACCTCTCACCCGGGAGGGTGCGCGCAGTGCTTGCATTATTGCACCGTCCACGGGGCTCCCAAACCCACGTGGAGACTCTACACCCCTCTGGATGCCTAAAGCCCGCCCTTGAGTTGCCCAAGGTTCCTCACTTGAAGCCCGGTTTGGGCGGGGAGGTAGGTAGGTAGCACATCTTCCTCTTTTATATATGCTTGTTAAGCAATCTGCCCTTTGGCAGGAGGAAACATCATACATGTCCGAGGAGTCATAATGATTTTTCATAAATTCTACAATTTGAGAAAAATCACGAAACTTGGTCGGGAAAACACTTCCCCCAAAACCTCTTTACCATAAAAATTTCAACTCGAAACTCTTTCGTTTGACTGCCAAAACAAAGCGCTAAAACTCTGCACTGTTGGCTGCCACTGCTGGCTACTGCTGCTGTATTTTGCTGCTGTTGGCAGCGCTGCTTGCTGCTGCTGGTAGCGCTGGTTAGTTATTGGCATGGGCTGCGGCTTTGCCGTTTGCTGGCTATTAGTGGCTTACATGTCTTGGGCTACTTAGGGCCAATGTTAGGCCATGTTGGGGCATTTCCAACGGCCACTCTTGAGCACTCAAATGGCCACACCACCGTGAGCGAAACGTCACGGAGTTAGCCTTGCAAGGCAACCCGTGACACTTGGCCAGAAAGTATTCCAAACTCTGCCACTCTAATCCTGGGCCTAACCTATGTCTCTGACACTTACTATAACTATGACAATCTCTGGCACGGGTTGTGCACGGTGGCACCATTTGTCAGCTGGTTAGTGAAGAATCAGTGCTTGAAGCCGACAAGGTGGGTACTGTTCCATTGGGGGGAAATGAGGACTAAAATGGGATCATGGGTTGAGAACTTGTTGAAAGCTAACTATGGAATTGGTGGAGTGGTGGTTGATAGATTTGAAGGTGGTGATGGCCCGTACTGCTTCGAGAAGGCTGTGGTAATGAGGCATGGTTTGGGGAGGATGGGGGAGGAGAGGAAGATGGAGGTTTTTGAATTGTTGACATGTAAGGCTAGGGAGGTTTGTGGGTTGAAAATGATGGGTAGAGGGAATGAACAAAACGGGATTCCACTTACAAGGCTGACTCTTACAAGGCTAACTCTGCTGATGAGAAGAGGATCTAGAGCATTCAAGAATGGAACAACAGTTGCAGATGTGTTTGCCAAGGAGTGTGCTAGAATTAAGGGTTGCATTCTGAGTGTGGTTCAGTCTGAAGATCTGAGCTTCTGTGATCAGGTCTTTTCTTCCTCACCCTTTCCATTTTTTAAAAAAATTATGTTATTTTACTCGGTCTCATTTCACATTTTAAAGTTTTGTTAATGCATGATGTTAGTAAATATCTAATCAGACAAATAAAGGTACAAGTTATTAGATCGGCATGGATTTATCAGATTAGGACCCGTCATTAATCAGATCAATTGGATTTGGGTCTAATCAGATTATAGATTTGAACCACTATTAACATATTTGGAAATTTCAAGTTGGATTCTGATCGGATTCGGATTGGACCCTATTTATCGACAGACGTTTATGCCACATCACTTTGTAACATTTTTCTTTGTAGAGGTTGGTATGGAACTTCACCACAAGTCTCCAAACATATATAACACTAGTGCACCATGTTAATTGCTCCAAAACAATGACCTTTCATCTAACCATGTCAGTTTAGTCTTGTTCAGCTATCATCTCAGAATGTAGTGACATGCTCTTGTGTTAATGTAATAATTAACAAATTAAACAATTTACGGTTCTGCTATGTGTACAGAATTGATGCACACAATAAAGAAAATGACACCCTTCTCTTTATTATGTGGACATAGGTTTCTTTGCCAACTATGTCATTCTAAATGGCAAATAAGGGTATATTAATCTGTAGAGAATGTGAACTCTTTTAAGATCAAAACCAAGACTATTTAAAACAGAGAGACAAATGCAGTTGACAGAGTTTCATGGTAGGTGTCTGACTTACAATTGTGTGGTCTTCATTCAGGTGAGAGTGATGACCAACACTGACATTGTGGCGTCTCCGCATGGAGCACAGTTAACAAACATGCTCTTCATGGACCGGGGCAGTAGCATAATGGAGTTCTTTCCCAAAGGATGGTTAGAACATGCAGGTATAGGCCAGTATGTTTTCCACTAGATGGCGAACCAGTTGATGATGAAGCACCAGGGTGCATGGTGGGACTCAGTTGGCAATGAATGCCCGTTCCCTGAACAAGAACTGGAATGCTTTCTTTTCCACAAAGACAGCCAGGTTGGTCACAATGAAACCTACTTTGCAGAGTGGGCCAGAAAGGTCCTCAACCATGTGAGAATAAGCAAGCAGGAGGAAGTTTCCAAGAAGCCACAGCCGATCTCAAGTGCCTGTCAATGCTAGTTGGCCATTCATTTGCCATGTAAGATAAATTGATAGAGAGAATTACAGAGAGAATAAATTGTATGTATTATGATTGATGTTGTTTATGTTGTTCAGTGGCTCCTTTATATAGGAGAAGGTTACAGACAATACATGTTTGAGCTCATGATGGAAAGTGAAGCACTAGCACCTAAAGGTACCGAAATGGAGGCTCACTATCTACTAATATATTATATACTCTAATAGCCCCCCTCAAACTCAAGGAGGATAGGTACAAACCGACTTGAGTTTGGAAAGGAACAAAACGTGAAAATAAACTAATACATAAATAAAAGAGGATAGTAGACACTGTATGGTCGTGTCAGACCGTTGGTGAAGACACTGTATGGTCGTGTCGGACCATAGTAGCAGGACAGTTTACGGGGTCATGCCGGACCAATGTAGAAGCTGACCGGAATCAATGTCGGGACAGTTTATGGGGTCATGCCGGACCGGTGTAGAAGCTGACCGGAATCAATGTCGGGACAGTTTATGGGGTCATGCCGGACCGGTGTAGAAGCTGACCGGAATCAATGTCGGGACAGTTTATGGGGTCATGCCGGACCGGTGTAGAAGCTGACCGGAATCAATGTCGGGACAGTTTATGGGGTCATGCCGGACCGGTGTAGAAGCTGACCGGAATCAATGTCGGGACAGTTTATGGGGTCATGCCGGACCGGTGTAGAAGCTGACCGGAATCAATGTCGGGACAGTTTATGGGGTCATGCCGGACCGGTGTAGAAGCTGACCGGAATCAATGTCGGGACAGTTTATGGGGTCATGCCGGACCGGTGTAGAAGCTGACCGGAATCAATGTCGGGACAGTTTATGGGGTCATGCCGGACCGGTGTAGAAGCTGACCGGAATCAATGTCGGGACAGTTTATGGGGTCATGCCGGACCGGTGTAGAAGCTGACCGGAATCAATGTCGGGACAGTTTATGGGGTCATGCCGGACCGGTGTAGAAGCTGACCGGAATCAATGTCGGGACAGTTTATGGGGTCATGCCGGACCGGTGTAGAAGCTGACCGGAATCAATGTCGGGACATATTAAAAGAGAGTGGTGGAAAGAAAAGTTTAAAAGAAATGATGGGAAAGAAAAATAAATGTGTTTTTGTTTGGTTTTTTATTTTTTATTTCTTTTTTTATTTTGAAATAATAATAATAATAATATATAAAATAAAGTGTTGGAATCCACTGGAATCAATGAAGGCTAGTATAATATATTGTAGTGGGGAAAAGAATGATGGGTATGTTGATTATAAAATAAAATAAAAATGGGTAGTGGAGAAGATGAGTGTAAAGAAAAGTTTAGTGGAAATAGTGTGTTTGGTATTTGTTTGTGGCCACGTCTTTGGCAGATCAAATACTTTGGGAAAAGGTTAAAGAAAAGTTTAAAATATGAGGGGAGAATGAGGACAAGCCCATGTGAGTGAAAGATGGGCTTAAAGAAAGTGAGGGATGTGGGCGGTGGATGTTTTGGTATGTGTGGATCTACTGTGTGGCTCTCGGCAGAGAGCATGTCTAGAGAGAGAAAATGTGACCAAACAAGTTGGTACGGAGGGAGATGGGAACATCTGTTCAGGTGAAGCCACTGGGTGGAGTATACAGAGAGAACCCACTGTGTGGCGTCGTGGTTGGTATCACGCCAACATCGGCTGTGGCCGCCGACGGTGTGCAAGGTGACGTGGGTCTTCGATAACAGAGACTGCGGCGTTGCTTGAAGCTGTGATGAAGATGAGTGTGCAAACGGCAGAGCCTTCTTGAAGAAGAAGAGAGGTGGGTTGGTCTGCAGGTGTATATCTCCTAAATCTTATAGGATAGGAGACACTGCTTGGAGCTCCGATTGAAGACGAAGAGCGCTGGGTCGATCTTCAAGAATAAGAGAGCTAGGTTGGTCTCTGGGAGTCCGGCATACCGGAGAAGAAGACGGTGTTTAGTAGTGGTTCTAATGGTAGAACCAGCATTGTGTCCTCCATTAACTAGAGAGAGAGAGAGAGATTGACAATGGCCCTCTCTCTATCACCCGTGGCAGTGCAGGTGGATCGGTGCAGAGGTGGTGGCTGAGAAGATGAAGCAAAGCCGTGGTCAGTGAGAAGGGAAATAGAGCTGTCTGCAGAGAGAGAAATTAGAAAATTTGGGTTTGTCCGGCGGATGGCCAAGGAGAGGCTGCCGCCCGCCGGTGAAGCGGAATTACTAAGTTCTTAACCTCGCTCTGATACCATGTAAGATAAATTGATAGAGAGAGAATTACAGAGAGAATAAATTGTATGTATTATGATTGATGTTGTTTATGTTGTTCAGTGGCTCCTTTATATAGGAGAAGGTTACAGACAATATATGTTTGAGCTCATGATGGAAAGTGAAGCACTAGCACCTAAAGGCACCGAAAGGGAGGCTCACTATCTACTAATATATTATATACTCTAACATGCCAATTCATGAGATAGAATTTCACAGACAAGCAATAGTGAAATATGAATGGAACAACAAATACAATTATAGAATTTCACAGTTTTAAAAGCTCCAAAACAGCCTATGACAAGTTATGGGACAATGTAGGAGGATATCAGCATTCCAGACACGAACTTTCACAGAATAATTCCTGGAAAATTTCTGGGCAACATAAAGTGGGCCTATTGACAATCTCTGAGGTGTGTGGTAGTGCTAGCCTAGCATTGTTTCATAAGCCGGACATGAAAAGAAGAATACAAAATCTGCATCAACATGAATGGATTGATCACAATTCCAAAGCAAAATTTCTGCACATGAACTGCTAATTAACTATGGAGGTCAATTTTTGTTCTTTAATTCAATAAGCATCAGGGATTTTTATTTATTTATTTTTATCTAAACCAACATAACTTGTATCAACGAACACTCGGAAACCTCTGAACGAGTTCTAGTTTACTGTAGCAATATGCTCAAAAAATGGTTAACATAGTACATTAGAAATCACCCAAATATGTTGCTCTATGCAAGTGCATGAGCTTGCTAGTTTGTTGCTTATTTGTACTTCAGCTAACATTGCATGTACAAAAATAAACTCGAGATTGGATGAAACATTTCAGTAATAAAACTAATTACTCAGAAGATAGACTGTCACATTTCACATACAGTAACCATGCTTTACATTTCAAAAGGTAAAATCCAAGAAACAAGGACCATGCTTTCTAAAGATGTCATTACAATGAGAATACGTTCAAGGGGAGTTAAAAAGAAACTGGTATTAGATCTTTTGAAAAGACAAGGAGACCCTGTCTAGGCAGGGCAGCAACAGGATTAATGTCCTAATCTTTGTGAAAATTTGGACCAGAAGTAGACCACACTAAAACAAATAAGTGCAAAAAGAACTACGTGAATAACATGGTTTGATCCATGCTGGATGATACTCTTGTTCAATCTCCTCATGTTGTTCTTCACCCCTGCTTGAGCTTTGATCAGTGTCATTTGCTGTTATGAACAAGAAAATATAGTAATTTCAGAAGTAGTAACTTCTTTCATCAAGGAAGGGAAGGCTAAATGCCACTTACTTGATATGAATTGTGAACAAATTATAGAATATAAGCAAGAATCATTGTTAAATTCACCTTGGCCAAATGTATTTATTATTTGATCCAAAATGCAATTGCTGCCTGTCTTAACATTGTTCAATACCAGAAGCCCCTCTAGTTTTCATTCTTTCCTAATACGAACTGTGAAGAGGATTCAACACGAATTATACTGGAACTTGACCCATGACGAGCATCTACAAGTCTCTTGTATAGATCATTATGATCCAAAATGGTACTAAAAAATCTAAATCATTTAGTTATTTATTTATCTTCTTTCCAAATCACTGTGTGTGTGTGTGTGTGTGTGTCAAGTGTTGATCAGAACACAAACCCTAGAATGAAATATAACATGGCCGGCAAAGAACCAGAGTGTTCTGAACCATGAAAAGGCAATGACACTTTTGCATATTAAATGGAACTTTATATACTTCCAGGAAATTGCAAATTAGAGTTGAAAATTGAAACCAAAGTTTTAAAAGGCTTGCTTGAGGCTTGCCTCGCCTCAAGGCTAAGGTAAAACGTATCAAGGTTTTGATTTTTAGGCATTACTCCCTAAAGGCTTGCACATCATAGTTTGAGACATGCCTCAAGGCTAAGGTAAAACGTATCAAGGCTTTGATTTTTAGGCATTGCTCTCCAAAGGCTTGCACATCATAGTTTGAGACATGCGCCTTATGTGCGCTTTGTATGCTTTTTGCTCATAAGCATATGAGGAGTATGCATGTGAGCTTTTATTAAACTTTGTCTATTAGATTGTTTAAATATAAAAAAATAAAAAGAATTCATTTTTGCAACTATATTCTATAAGAAAAATTAAGTAAATGATCAATCAAGAAAAAACATAGTTAATGGTCAAGTGAGATACTCAATCACTAAAATTAAGAATATCAATTTCACTTTTAGTAAAGGAAAAGTTCCTTTTATGTAGTAAAATGTTCAACGTCCTAAGGAGAAAAGAATTTACACCTTTATATTTAATTTTGTTTTTATTTTTTTACCATTTTAAAGTATTTAATTTATTTACTAAATATAAAAATTTGAAATTTAAAATGCGTATACCTCAATTCTTTGAGGTTTACGTCTCGTCTCATGAGGGGTCAAATGTCTCGAGATACGCATTTACCTTTAAAAATTTTGGTTGAAACAAGGTCTAGAGTGCGAATTATATATCCTTAAATCTTGACATTGAGAAAAAGATTAAGGGTTGGTTTGGGATGTCCTAAAAAAGTACACTTTTTGACTTATTGGCGGGTTTGTGTTGGGTTTGGGTTGGGTTTGATGTGATGTGTTAGAGAGGTGATGTAATTTAAATAAGATGATGTGATTTAAATAAGATAGTGACTTTTTGACTTTTTAACTTATTTAGTACATGCCAAACTAATCCTAAATACTGATTACCAAGTATTGGTTAATATCTTATTACTATTTATGCCTTTTTCTTTTCCTGTTTTCTCTTCCCAGTACACATAGAACGGAAGTCCATATTGAACTCTACCCTGTTATTTATAGAGCTAAATTCATAATTCAAGTAATTGAAGATAAAAAGAAGTAATGATTGTTCATTCATGTCAATGTCAAACAATCCAGATATTCTACCAGTAAATGTTCCAGAAAGCTAGTTTAAAAATAAAATAAAAAATAAAAATCTAAAGTGAATGGTAGTAAAGTTGATGGCCTACCAGCTCATTGAGAAAGTCATTCCGAAACTTTGCCTCTGTTCCAATCTCTTTAGGTACCTGGCATTGAGTGCTCAGGAAACAAAACAAGTAGAAACAAAAATGTAGAAAAGTGTCGTAATTAAATGATGAATAATGCTTGGGACTCCTTTTGGAGGTCACTCCCTCACCTCATTTGTTACGTGATGAATGGTGATCGGAGGAGTAGGAAAAAAAAAAAAAAAAAAAAAAAAAACCAATAAAAAAGAGAGAGAGTCAAAGGAGATGGGGAGAAAAAGGGAATGAATCATGTTGTTAACAATTCAAAAGAATTTCCTTTTCTTATTCTTTTTCTGTTGGGCTTTTCTCAGCCCTGGGGGTGATTCCGAGGAGGGGATGGAGAATGGAAAGCTGATGAAGGCAGTCACGGGGGCACGGGTCCTACCCTGTTAACATTCCCAAGGAGGCGTAGACGGGAGGAAATGGGGTGACTCTTCAAGGGTAGCTTAGCTTGAGTTGCGTGTGTGGCTAGGACAGTGATCAGGGTGTGAATAAGGTGATGTGATGGGTGTCTGCCTGCGATTTGGGTGGCTTGAAATAAAGTTATAAATCAAATCGTGAATAGGGGATTAACAAATAATTAAATTGTAGTTTGAAATAATTTAATTTACTAATTGATTGAAGAATATTATTAAATAATTATTAAGTATTTAAATAATATTATATATATATATATATATATAACTCAAACTAATTTTATATAATATTTTTTTATATATATAACTATTAATTTATAATAAATCTCATATTTTAAATCTCCTTCATAATTATTTTTACTTTGATATTTCATTAGATGTTAAAAACATATATATATGTGTGACAACCATCTCCTTAGTTAAAATTAATTTAAATTAAATTGAATATATGCTTATTGTTAATTGAGTGTTTATGTGATTAGGTGCTATTGATTGTCTTGAAAAATTATTGACTTGCTTGATTGAACTGATAGGAGAGAATATAAATTCAACCTATCTGATTCACTAATTTTAACAAGTTATAATTAAATAACTAATTAACCAATTAGAGTCTAATTCACATTAATATAATTAAATTAGTACGATTGAGATTATTATATGTAGAGGATTAATTTTAATTTGTGAAGATGTGAATTTTATTTAATATGATTAAATCCTCAATTTAAATTAAATAATTGATGAACTAAATAAAATAAATCCTAATAGATATAGAAGAGAGAGTGTTTAGTTAGTTGAGTCATCTTTTCTTCACACCAACAGAACCACGTAGACTTATGTAGAGAGAGAGAGAGAGAGAGAGAGAGAGAGAGAGAAGGCTAGTTCAAGAAAGGAAAGTGAAGCAGATTGTTAGAGACTTGAAATTCACAGTAGATAGCTTAATTCCTTCATCTCTAGGTAAGGGTTCTTCTTTTGTAGTTCAATAATTTGTAGAATCATACTATCAATTAGAGCATCAAAGATCATTTAGAGGGCTATAAGCTTATTGAGTTGAATTGATAATTAATACAAGAGATTAGAACATGCATGTTAGAAAATTGAAGAAAGGGTCAATTTACCTCATAATTTTTACATGCATAGCATATTCTTAAGAGAATCTGGGTTCTAAACTTGTTTTTAACCATGATTCATAGAGTTTAAGGAGAGATTAAGCATGAATTAGAGCTTGGGTTTAAGAAAATGGATGTTTTATGAAATTGAGTTTCAAAAATGGAAGTATGAGTTTAATTTGATATTTAGAGCCTTATAAGAATTCAATTAAAAATCTGATTTAGGCTCGTAAAATTAAGCCTTAATTGAGAATTAATTAAATTCAATTGAAATTGAGTTAGGCTTAAGATTATGGAAATAAATGTGAAGATTAATTATTTTAGCCTTGATTTGCTTGAAATGGAGTTGAAATTGCAAAATTTACAAGTTTATGAGTTTCTGATTCAGTAATTTAAACATGACTAAACAATTGTAATTAATGTGTATGATTCTAATTTAAGTTTAATTGTGTAATTAGTGACCTTAATAAGGGTTTGTATATGATTCGATTATTTATATTTAATTAGTTTGAGTAATACATAACTAAACATATTTTAATTGGAGGTTAATAATCTAATTAATTCTGAATACTAGTCATCCATATTTAAGAGGAATGAAAGGAAGAAAATGTAGGAATAACCGAGTGAAAAATTAGAATTAAATGAGAGAAACTCAAAGACAAACAAGTAACCGAATTAAATAGATTGTAAGAGTGTAATTGTAATTGTGTTGTGCTTGACTTATTTGTTTAGGTCGGACGCTGAACGATTAGCACGTGTTTTTCAGGAGCTCACTGTAAATAACACTGTTGTAAAGATATGTGCTAATTGTATTTATTTTCCAAGGAAAAACTGTATTGTTTTCTGAATTGATCATTTTATTGTGAATGATGATCCTCTTTTCAATTGTATTCATGGCATCCATAGCTTATTGTTATTGTTATCGTCATCGATATTGTTATTGATACAGAAATCTCTATCAGTTCCAAATCTTAGAACTATTATTATTGTTTGATGGCCATCAATTGATTGTTCGATCTTCAAGATCTATCGTATTGTTGCTATTGGATGTACCACATATGACCTATATGAATATGATTGATTGAATTGAACGAATGAACGATTGATTGACAAAAAGATTAATTGAAAATGTTCTATCAATAATCGATTATTTCAAATACTGTAAGGACATCATTCTTAACCTCTTTACACAGTTGTTATTCACTGGGCTCTAGCTCACTGTTTATTATATATATGTAGGTGATCAAGCACTGGATCAGAGTTAGTGGCGTCAACCTGAACTCTGTTTTGTCAAGCCAACCATTGTGCCTTACCGCGAGGTTCCGAAGTAACATATGTCATGGCTGGGGTGTTTTGGATTCATCCTTTTGGATTTTGATGAACAGGAATCCAAACCAAGGCTAGACTTTGAATTTGAAAATGATGTGTTGAAATTTCAATGAAAGTTGTGTGTACCAAATGATCCCAAATTGAAAAAGCGAGTTTTGCAAGAAGCCCGCAATATGTGTATTAACTACAGCGGAGCAGAGCGATTTCAAAGATGGATTATAAAATTCAAAATTTAATTCACTGTTAGTGGATAGATCAGTGAGGTTTTAGCAGATTAAGCAATGTTTTGCACATGTTAGGATCATTTTGGAGAGTCAATATGTTTTTCACAGTGTTGGTGGGTAATGAAACTGGTTGGTTCTCGGATGACTGTAGTTGAGAGAAGGCATCGCTTGCAAGAAACAAATATTGAATTGTGTAAGTTGGAGATCCAGAAAGCAATGCCCATGTCTGTTGAGACTCTCTCTTCCATTTTTTGGCAGAAGATGAAAATTAAAATTTTTGGTATTCGACATCAATGTAAAAGGAGTATATATATTGAATATCCTAGAGTAGTTTACGACCGATATATCTAACTTGTCTATAGCCTAACCAGAGTTAACAACAACTATTAAATAAAAGTTATGTTCTCTGAATCTCATCGTTAGTGTCCCAATAGCTAAACATGCCTCCAATTCTATCAATTAAGAAATTACAAGAAAAGTTGAGTAACAAAAGAGAAGAAGGAAAAAAAACTTACAAATTTCAGTTGTCCAACTTGTTTACGGAGACCTGTGATCTCATCATCCAAATCCCCATGCATCGGATCAATCTGTAATTGGATTTCATCTGAACTAGCCACTTGTCTCGTGCTAAGCCTTTCCATGCATTCACAAATGCAAATAAATACATACAACACAAATTCAATATCACTACCAAACAAAAGGGAATTAGAAAATAAAAAAGAAACTCAATTATATTAGGCTGAATTTGAAGAGACAAGACTCAAGTTTTATTTTTTTTTCTTTTAAATTCTCGATACTCAAATAGAAAAATCCAAAAAAAAATAAAAATGAAGTAATTGATTATGAAAATACCTCGATCTGTACGGAGCGGCGCCATAGAAGCCGCCTTCTAACAACCCTCATCACTGATCACTGATCGATTACTGATTACTGCTAAACTGAGACTGATTATGATTGGTAATTGAACTGATTCAACTACTGGACTGACTGACTGGAATCTGGAATTGAATTGATTAAGTATATCTGTTATATTGCATTTCTATCTGTTGATTGTTAATTGATCTGTTCGTGTTTTTATGTTTAACCTACAAATTGAAGGCCTTATCGGCGGCCATATCTGAAATTGATTAATGTTATGTGTTCGTTAGAATTTATAGGAAATTATGGCATATTTATCTGAAAACTGAATTGGTATGATTAAATTAGATTAAAATTGGTTAAATTGCATTGTTGACTTAATTACTATTTTGCCATTGTGAGTGGCCACTATCTAAGACCACCTTTGAGCCTCATTACACCTAGATCAAACATTTGCTCAGCTCATTTCCCTTGTTCTTGCCGACCAAGAGAGTTAGAGTGAGAGAAAGTGAGTTCCTCCTTGATAATTGCTTGTAGACTTGGAGATTTTAGAAGATAATTGTGAATTTGAGCTCTGACACCTTATAATTCAGACTTAGGTAAGGATTTCACCTTTTCATTAATGTATTTAAGATTGTTCTTGCATGGTTCTTGAGCCTCTAGAGAGCTAAGTCATGTCTTAGTCTAATAATGTTGAATTGGAGCTTATTCCATGCATGCATGTTGGTATTGTTGAGTTTTAAGTTGATTTCATGGATAATTGTTGCATGCATGTACAAGTTCTAGCTAAGGTTCATGAAACCATCATGTTTTTGAAAGATTTGGCTCATTAGAGCATGTATTAAAGCTTTGAATTGATTTAAAACTCATGCATGTTCATTTGAATTGTTGTCATGAAAATTGATTTGAAATTGGGTTTGTTTGAACTACCATTGGGCTTTGATTTTACAAATTGAGCTTTGAATCATGTTAAACTATGAGTTTTGAAGTGTTTTCCAGAAAATGAGCCTAAGAGGATCGAATTTGGTGTTTGAAACTTGATTTTGAGCTTGAGGTTCAAATCTGAATCTGGGAATTTCAGATTTTGAACTCACGCTCGAGCGGGGTGACTGGCGCTCGAGCGTGGAAATCGTGCTCCCAGTATTTTGTTCTGTTTTTAAGTCAGCTCGAGCGGGGTAATTTACGCTCGAGCGGGACCTTGTGTCTTACGCTCGAGCGGATGTCGAGCGCCCAATCGAGCGTGAATTTCACCTATCTAGCACTTTTGACTGTTTTGAAGTACGCTCGAGCGGTTAAGTCTGCGCTTGAGCGGAAACCTTTGTCTGCATGTCCGCTCGAGCGGATTAACCTACGCTCGAGCGGGACCCCTATTTTCTGAAAATTCTGAAAATACTTTTAAAGTGCATCTTTGCATCCTTATTTCATCCTAGGTATTCTTAGGCCTAGTTTAAGGCATCTTAATGAGGATGTAGATGTAGAACCACACCGAGTCAAGATAGGGATTAAGTTATTATCTTTCCCAACTGTGTATCTTAGTGTGTGTTCAATCTGTAAATTGTGTAAGGTTGGCGACTGGGGACGCACTCTAGCTTTACTATAGCCCAGAACTCTGTGAGTAACAACTGTGTAAAGATATGTTTAAAATGATTATCTTCTGAATAATTGAATTGTACTATTTTCTGAACTGATACTGTTAATTGAATGAATGTATGTCCTATATTCTGAACTGTATTGTGGCATTCTTAGCAACTACTGTTTACTGTTACTGTTACTGTTACAGAGATCTCTGTCAGTTCCCTTGTCGGAACCATTACTATTTACTGATTGATGGCCATCATTTACTGTTCGGTCTTTTAAGACCTACTGTTTACTGTACTGCTATGCTAATGGATATACCACATATGACTGAATGACTGATATACTGAATTAACGAACTGTTTTCATTACTGCAAGGACATTCATTCTTAACCTCTTTACGCATTACGTTATTCACTAGGCTTTAGCTCACTGCTCATATATATATGTAGGTGTACAGGCACCAGACCGCGGCTAGAAGTGTCGGGGTTAAGCTCCAGTTTTGTCAAGCCAACCTATGTGCCTCACTGCGAGGTTCCGAGCCTGTCAAGCTAAGGCTATGGGGTGTTTTAGCTTTCCCCCTTCTGTTCTATTTTGTAAACTGTAGACTGTTACCGTACTGTTTAATAGCGGTTAGGTCCTTGAACTGAATGATTGTATATATGTACATACTGTTTTGTCACTAACTGCATATATGTATGAAAAAGTCTTTTTGGCATTCAGACTATCACAGCTCATTGGACATTGTTTATTTGCTATTTTGGCTTCCGCCATGCCTCTGTACTCTGTTTTACTGTATTACTGTTAAGCAGGCCTTCGGTAATCTCGGATTACTGGCCGGTTACAGTGCTAAACCCATAGGGGCGAGTTTGGGTCGTGACATGCCGCCCCTATGAGAACTAGACGCCATTGGAGAAGAAGAACTTGAGACGATGATCAAGGTTTCGAATCAGGAGAAGAAATGAATTAAGGGAATAGAAAGTGAAAGAAACCCTACAACAAAGAATTCTATTAAATCGTCAAAGTTGGTCTGGACTGGCTATTTTCGACGATTGATAGATAGATTTTGAAGTTTTCTTGAACAAATTGGGTATAGGGAAGGATGGCTGTGACGTGTAATGTGTTTGGTTGGCGGAATAACGATGATGTGCCAACAAAGTGATCGACAAAGTGATCCATCGTTGGATTTGGCGATCAGACAATTACCGGTGCTTGTGACGTGGTCATACCAGAAATCGATCTGGGACATCGGATCTATATAATAGACGGTTCAGATCGTTGTATAGTATAGCCACGTGTCACGGAATAAGTTTTCTTGAAGAGGTGACTGTTTTACAAGTGGCATCTGATCATTGGCGAAATTTGTTCCATCCAATCCTATTGTTAGAAAATGCCATTTAGACAATTCGCACCTGTGACATGTCTAGAACAAATTTATTTACTATTTTATTTAGCGAATTTTTGATGTTTTTTAATTTTTTTAGGGGATTTTTTTAGGGTCCCTGGTATTAAGATTTTATAGCATAAATGTCATTTAATATTTTTATAATGTCTAAGGTCCTTCAATATCGATCTAGAGATATTTCAATGCAGAGAATTTCTTTCTGGACTTCCCAAAGAATTTCACTAGGTTCAAACCAGAGAAAATTGAAATTTCTCTGAGTTCAAACTAGAGAAATCCAGAGAAAATTGAACATCACAAAGAAAATTAAACAAGACAGAGAAAATTAAACATGCAAAAAAAAATTACACACAGCAAAGAAAATTAAACATGCTACAAAAAATTGGAGAAAAAATCAAAGAGACAACTAGCCATAGAAAATCAAGCAAATTACATAGAGAAAAGTGAATCCAATATGTTTAGAAAAAATTGTGATGCTAGAGAAAATTCATTTCAAGAGGAAAATTACATACAAGGACACAACGAACCAATAAAAATCAAACAAACAATATAATTTGATGGGTCAGGAAAAATTCAGATGCCAGACAAAATCAATCAAAATTTTGGCCCAAACTCAAAGAAATTTCGACCCAACTCAGAGAAATTCCGTCCGACTTAGAGAAATTTTGGCCAAACTTAGAGAAATTCAAAGAAATTTTTCCTAACTTAGAGAAATTTAGAGAAATTTCTTTAATTTTCTCTGTGTTTTGGAAATTTCTCTACGTATTATACAGAGAAGAGAGAAGAAAAAAATGGAATAGTTTCTTGTCAACCCTTTAATTCTTCACTCTATAAGGGAAGTAATTTAACAAGTGATGCAAATATATGTTTTGAAATTTCTTTGTGTTTTAAAATTAGAGAAATTTCAAAACTTTGCAAATTAGAAAAATTTCGAAACACAAAATTTCTATGTATTTTAAAATTTATCTGAATAAAAATTTCTCTCTCTCTCTCTACTTAAAGAATGGCAACTATAGTAAGCTCTAAAACACACTCAACAGGCTAGTAAACTATTGACCATAATTGAAATATATATGTATATATATAAATAAGTCATCTTAGTGTTCAATGCATTTTGCCTTTATCCATTTCCAATTTTTTTACTGAAATGTGACTCCAAGCAAAGAATATTCAATATATATGAGCTTTCTTTGATTTTTGATTTTTTCTAATTTGTGATTTTACAGCTCAGATTGTCGTCCAATTCCAATATTTTATTAATTCTCCTTTTTATCTGCCTGTTGATTTTGCTTTCAAAGATTTTGTTTTAATTGAGTTTAGCTTCTTTTTTTTCTTCTTTAATCTTCTTCTTGTTTTCTCCATACCAGTCCAGCTTCTATCAAACCCATTTTTTTTTCCCTCAAAACCTTATTAGCTTAATTGGAATCTTTTATGTAATTATATATTCTAGTTTTGTCTAACCATTTCCATCGTCGACAGCACCGTCGCCGCAGCCAAAATCTCTAGATCAGCTTTCATCAATTGCCTATTTGGCATAATATGAAGCCTCAAATCGGACATATATGAGTGTCCGCCAATGAAAATCGACAAATCATCAAGCGTGATCATACCAAATCACTCCAAAATCTATATACATATGCATTTGAAATAATAAAAGAAGAATTGAATTAAATCAAAGATATTCAATTAAATCACTCTACAATATATACATATATATGTATGTGTATATATATATATAGAGAGAGAGAGGGAAGAGGCTTACGTTGCAACAGCCATGCTTGATGCAAATGCCGACAGGAGGGAGTAAGATTGTGATCAAGATTTCACAGAAGATCACATAGCAATTTGTCATGGTTGAGTTGAATTTAGCAGAGAGGAAGAGAGAGAGTTTGAGTAAGAGAGAGAGAGAGAGAGAAAATTGATTTGAGAGAGTCAAATTTCTCCATGATACATGGACGTGGGGTTGAGGGACATCATAAAACAATATTGTGATCTTCTTTATTATTAAAAATGAGATAGAGACCTTAGACTAATTTTTATTTTTTATTTTTAAA